CGGCGCTCACCCCGGGGCGCGGCGGGGGCGCGCAGGCGCAGCGCGAACAGCTGAGGGGGCGGTCCCGCCCCCGGCCCGCCCTGAGGGGCTGGGGCCGCCTGAGGGGAGCGGGGCGGGCGGAGCGATGGTCGGGGAGCGCTGGAGGCTTCGGCAGCCACGGGTTCCCTCACTGACATCCCCCAGCCATGGCTGTCCCTCAGCACTACTTCAGCCACGGGTCCCCTCACAGACATCCCTCAGCACGGTGTCTGCCATGCCTGTCCCTCACAGCCATCCCTCACAGCCATCCCTCAGCCATAGCTGTCCCTCACAGCCATCTCTCAGCATGGTGTCTGCCATGCCTGTCCCTCACAGCCATCCCTCAGCCATGGCTGTCCTCTCACAGCCATGGCTCAGCACCGTGTCTGCCATGACTGTCCCTCAGCACTATCCGCTCGGCACCACATCAGCCACGGGTCCCCTCACAGGCATCCCTCAGCCATGGCTTTCCCTCACAGTCATCCTTCAGCACGGTGTCTGCCATGACTGTCCCTCACAGTCATCCCTCACCCATGACTGTCCCTCACAGCCATCCCTCAGCACCGTGTCTGCCATGGCTGCCCCTCAGCACCATCCCTCAGCACCGTTTCAAGCACGGGTCCCCTCACAGCTCAGCACCGTGCCAGCCATGGCTATCCCTCACAGCCATCCCTCAGCCATGGCTGTCCCTCAGCATTGTTTCAGTCATGGGTCCTCTCACAGCCATCTCCCAGCACCGTGTCAGCCATGGCTGTCCCTCACAGCCATCCCTCAGCCATGGCTGTCCCTCAGCACCATCCCTCAGCACCGTGCCAGCCATGGCTGTCCCTCAGCATCATCCCTCAGCACCGTGTCAGCCATGGGTCCCTTCACAGCCATCCCTCAGCACCGTTTCAAGCACGGGTCCCCTCACAGCTCAGCACTGTGTCAGCCATGGCTATCCCTCACAGCCATCCCTCAGCCATGGCTGTCCCTCAGCATTGTTTCAGTCATGGGTCCTCTCACAGCCATCTCCCAGCACCGTGTCAGCCATGGCTGTCCCTCACAGCCATCCCTCAGCCATGGCTGTCCCTCAGCACCATCCCCCAACACCGTGCCAGCCATGGCTGTCCCTCAGCATCATCCCTCAGCACCGTGTCAGCCATGGGTCCCTTCACAGCCATCCCTCAGCACCGTTTCAAGCACGGGTCCCCTCACAGCTCAGCACCATGTCAGCCATGGCTGTCCCTCACAGCCCTCCACAACAGCCATCCCTCCGAACAGTCCCCTCACAGCTGTGAGTGACTGCCATCCCCTCAGCATCCAGCCACAGCCATTGCTCAGCTCCATCCCCTCAGCTCGCAGGGCTGGAGCCCCCCTGCCATGGAGCCAGGCTGGCAGAGCTGGGAATGTTCAGACTGGAGAGGAGAAGGATCCAGGGAGAGCTCAGAGCCCCTGGCAGGGCCTGAAGGGGCTCCAGGAAAGTTGGAAGGGGACTGGGGACAAAGCATGGAGGGACAGGGAATGGCTCCCAGTGCCAGAGGGCAGGGCTGGATGGGATTTTGGGAATTGCAAATTGTTCCCTGTGAGGGTGGGGAGGGGCTGGGATGGAATTCCCAGAGCAGGGGTGGCACTGGGTGGGCTCTGATGTCCCTCCCAACCCAACCCACTCCACGGATCGCTGTTTCTGTGGGCTGGCAGGGCAGCTCAGGCTCCTAAGGACCGTGCCTCTGCAGGAGTGTCCCCTGTGCCAGGGGAGGCTGTCACAGCTCCTGCCGTGTCCCCTGCCACAGCGGCTGTTTCCAGTGACGGCGTCCCCGGCTCCATGGCGTGACCCTCCCTGCGGATCACGGCATTCCGTGGGCCCTGGGGATGTCACCGCCCGCCTTGCTGGCAGCCCCCGGCAGCGTCTCCTGAGGAGGATCCCGCAGCACGGGCTCTGCTCCAGGCTCTCCGTCCCCGTGCCAATAATGTCACAGCTCCTCCTGCACAGGCTGACAGTGCCTGCAGGAGGGGAGGACAATTCCTGCTCTGGGGAGGAGGCACCACTCCCGGTTGGGAGCGGGAGGGAACGCTTTGGCAGGGAATGGGAAATGAGAGCGGGAAGTGGCGATGCTCGTTGCGAGCTGCCTGTGCCCATGGCGGTGCTCGGAATTCCGAATTTGTCCTGGAATTCCGGAGCCAAGCCCGCGGGTGCCAGTGGGACCAAGCGAGGGAGGTGATGCCTGCTGGCTGCATTTCCACCCGAAAGGAGGCAGCAGCCAAAGCGGCGTTTGGAAAAGCCGTCCGCCGAGGGCTGCAGGGAGTGCTGCGACCTGCAAAAACACCAGATGGTGCCATGGCTTCACGTATTTCTCTGTGCCTCTGACTCCGGGAGCTCAGGTTCCTCTCCTCTGTGCGCTGTGCCCATCCTCCTCCTCCTCCTTCCCAAGGCTCCCAGGGGAGTTCGGCCAGGCTAGGAAAAAAAAGGGTTTTACTTACTGAACAACGAGACAGCCATTAATTAGTCACACGGATCAAAAGGAATAAATTAAAGGCTAGTGATGCTGCCAAGATGCCACCTGAGGGCTGGGGTGGATTATTCCCGCTGGCAGGTCTCCAACCCCTTCCATACTTAAAATACAGAATTGTTGATTCTTTTAATGCATTCAGGGAAAAGAAATCCCAGACTCCTGCACGTTCCTCTACACTGCTGATCTTACTGAGTTGTTAAGTGCACTCAGGGTTTTCCTGTCAGAAATCAGGTGGCTTGGTTACACACCTGTTTCCCCGAATCCCTCCATTTTAAGGGAAATCAAGTTCCTGTCGCTTGATACGGGTCTCTTCCTGTTTCTTTCTTTCTTTCTTTCCTCCAAATCTAAGTTCCATGCTCCTCAAGTGTCTTGGGACCCCAAGAAGTGAGGGAACTGCAGAATTTATTAAGGCTGAGTAATAAACCAACGTTTTCCCCTGAAAATGTGCCAAAAAAAATTTAAAAAATTAACGGATATCCACAGCTTGTAAAGCCAGGGAAGTGCAGTTCCCTGTCAGGGGAAGGCAGAAGGGAATCCCTGAAAACCCTCAGCAGGGCCCAAGGCCACAGCCCCAGATGGTTTTGGTGAGCAGAAGATGGACCATGGTGGGGGAGCACACGTGTCCAGTGCCCAGGTGCAGTTCCTTTACCCACCCACCCACCACCACCCAAACCCGTGGAGAACAAGGTGAAGAAGGAGCAGCTTCCACCCTAAAACCTCTATTTTAGCTCTATATATATTACTATATTCTAAATATACTGTATATTCTAATATATATATATATTCTAAATACTATATATGACTATATTCTAAAACCCCAAACCCTAAGTTTCTCACCCTGTGCTATCACACACTTCTAACCAACTCAATCAATTCTGGAAGCCTTCTCCATGGCCTCAGGTGAAAGGCAGTGCTCTCCTGAGGGCCTGTGCCTTTCAGCACAGAAAACTCTCAGTATCCAGGGCTCCAGCTCTGAGGAACTACAGGATCCTGTGCTCCTTTCCAAAGAGGGCCTTGTGGGAGGAAGAGGAACAGAATCCGTGGCAAGACTTGAGCCACAGGGAAGGATTTTGTCTGGTGCCATGTCCTGAGGGCATGGAAATTCCAGTGCCAGGTTGGGAATGGGCTGTTGGGAGCAGCCCTGGATCCTCCTCTGAGACACTAAGGTAGATTTTTATAGATATAGATATAGATTAGATATAGATATAGATATAGATATAGATATAGATATAGATATCCACGTGTGTCCCCCTGGGCTGGTTTACATGCCCAGACATCACCTCACTGACCCGAAGGTGCCCTTGCTCCACACCCCAGCACGTTCCTGATTTCAGCCTGGTGTCACAGCCTGTGACAGACCCGGGCTGGCAGTGGCCCGGAGGGGGCTGGAGGTGCCACGGGGCTGTTCTGGGGCTCATCCTTGGGACACCTCTGGACACAGAGTAAAACCTAAAACCTGTGTGCATGAGGCTCAAGGCAGTGCCCATGCCACGGGAACAGGTGAATCCCATCCTGCTGTCCCACCCCATCCCTTCCCTGTTGGGAAGCAGGCCTGGAGGAAGCTGCAGCACACCCATTGTCCCTGGGATCACATCCCTGGCATCTGGCCTGGAACAGCCACAGCCCTCCAAAGGTGAAACTCTCAGCCCTGCTTTTCCACTCTAAAATCCATAGCCAGCCTCAGAGAAGCCCGAACTGAAAGGGACGGGAGACCTGCTGTCCCACCCCATCCCTTCCCTGTTGGGAAGCAGGCCTGGAGGAAGCTGCAGCACACCCATTGTCCCTGGGATCACATCCCTGGCATCTGGCCTGGAACAGCCACAGCCCTCCAAAGGTGAAACTCTCAGCCCTGCTTTTCCACTCTAAAATCCATAGCCAGCCTCAGAGAAGCCCAAACTGAAAGGGACAGCAGACCAGTTTGGTTCAGTTTTGAACTGGGAGATGCAGCAGCAGCACTGGAATAAAGAACAATCGTTTGGAAGGGCAGCAGCTCCAGCACTGCCATTTTATCTCCTCCAGGTACCTGAAATAGGAAACAACCCCCAAGGCTGCCATTCCCTCTCAGGGCTTTGCAGGAGGGGAGGAAGCTGGGATGAAGAGGCCTGGGATGAAGGCAGGATCCCTCTGGACAGGGTGTTGCCCTGTTCTTCTAAGTTCTTCTAAGCCTTCTGATGTTTCCCTTTTTGTAATGGGGTTTTCTCACTCACAGTTCATGTAAATAATGATTGTTTTGCATTCCTTTCTGGAGGAGGAGAAATTTGATGGACTGTTGCTTTGACCAGTGTTGTTGGAGAGGCGGCAATTTCATCCTCCAATCCAGGGTCACTTTTGGAATTCCATTTATATCGAGGTCGAGAAATAAGCTTCCCTTCTTTTTACCTTGGAGGTTCCAGCATGCGTGTAGTTTTATTTCGTGTCCTATTGTGGCAGACAGGGAGCTGAGGCAGAGGAGGGACAGGCTCTAATTCCTCCACAGCCCCTGTGCTCAGCTCTCAGTGCAGGGTGTTAAACCCCATCCTGCCCCAGCAGCTCTCACAGCCGAGTGCAGAGGTTTGGTTTGCAGGACATCCCAGTGACAATCAAGTACAGAAGCACCGGTTCTGTGTCTTACCAGGATTTATTTTTGTACCTTTAACCCCAATGTGTTCACAGCGCTCCTTTTCCCACCTCATTTCCTTCCCTGCACATCCCAGGGCCAGGACTGCTGAATGCAGCTCTGGGTTACCCTCAGATCCCAGAACACTCACCGGATTCGATGGAATAAATGTCATTTGGGATTCACCCGAGCCAACAAGGGCACCACGAGGCTGGTGCAGCCCCCTCTGGGCTGCAGTGTGCTGCCAGGCTCCCTCAGCAGGGAGCTGTGCCCCCTGTGCGGGTGCAGCCTGTGCCAGGCACTGCAGGGGCTGCAGGTCTGCTCCTGCTGCCCAGCCTGGCACCTCAGTGCTGCAGGACCTGCTCCAGGAGGAACTGGGATTGCAGGAGCTGTGTCTGCTCTCAGGGGCCACAGATCTCCTCCTGCTGCCCAGCCTGGCACCTCAGTGCTGCAGGAGGAGCTGGGATGGCAGCACAGGGAGCTGTGTCTGCTCTCGGTGCCCCGGGGCACCCCCCTCCCGACGGGAATTCACTCCGGTGCCAAGAGCTGCACAGACGGATGTGCACCGACAGCCCTGCAGAGTAAACCCCCTGTTCGGTGTTGACAGCACTGAGAGGCTCCCGCAGGGTGCTGTCGGTCAAAGCGTGCATTCCGTGGGCTGGGAGCTCTTTTCCAACCCCAACGATTCTGTGGAATCCCCATTTATCCCCACCCACCCTGGAGCACACCCAGCGCTCCGGGTCTGGTTTGGAGCGGGGGCTGCAGCAGCTTTGGCTGTGCGGGGTCATCCTTGTGGGGAGGATCCATCCCGGCTCCTGGATCATCCCAGGGAAAGAGGATCATTCCCAGGTCCCGAGGAAAACAGAACAATTTATGGCTCTCCTACTGCTACAGCTTCCCCAAACCCTGCGCTCTGGGCTTGTGCTTCCCTCCCACCCGCTCTCCCCCCAACCTCCTTCGCTTGTTTTTGTCTTTTTAAACATCATTACATCTCAGATCCAACCAGCTCAAATACTTTTTAATACATTGAAAATGTAAAATAAAGCATATACGAAGTACATACAGTATATATATACACGTATTTCAAATACTTAAAATTCTTATGTAAAATATGATTTTTTTTCTATATTATTTGTGTAAAAATACATTTTCAAATGGTGTCACCTCGATTTTGCTGTACAGACCCTCAAGCCCAATCGAAGTCCCTTTTAAAAAGGCAAAAGACAAAGGTTTAGGATTTTTGGAACTATGTTTACAGGCCTGTTGTCCACACAGGAAAAGCCTCTGGGAAACAGTATTGGATTGCTTTTTGTGAGAATTCCCGTTTTTATTGCATTAACGGCAGGAACGGAGCCTTTTCGGTTGTGCTGCAGTAACCCCGCTGGCCTGGCCGAGGAACTGCCCCGGTACCCTGTGACCACCTCAGAACCCTCCTTTGCCCGCTCTGTTCAGATATAAAATATATATTACTTCAAATATATTACTGTAAGCTCTCTCTGCTCTGCGCGTGCAGCAAACGTAAGCACGGAACACCGAGCGAGGCCGCTGCTGTCCCCTGTGCCCCCCCGCAATTACCTGTGATAATTAACCACCGAGGCCACGCTGCCACGGCCCCGCCGCCTCCCACATCCCCGCTGTGGGAAACCCGGCCCCGCTCTCCACACTCCCGTGGGACTCACGAACCATTCATCGCACGGAGCTTCCCCCGAGGAGAGGCCCCAAAGCCGCTCCCGATCCACCCTCCCGCCCCGATGGTCTTTGCTGCCTCCCGAGGAACCCTCCCGAGGATCCTTCCCAAAGGTCCCTCCCGAGGGTTCCTCCTGAGGATCCCTCCTGAAGATCCCTCCCAAAGGTCCCTCCCGAGGAACCCTCCTGAAGATCCTTCCCAAGGAACCCTCCTGAAGATCCCTCCTGAGGAACACTCCTGAAAGTCCCTCCCGAGGAAACCTCCTGAGGATCCCTCCCAAAGGTCCCTCCCGAGGGTTCCTCCTGAAGATTCCTCCTGAGGATCCCTCCCGAGGATCCCTCCTGAGGAATCCTCCGAAGATCCCTCTCAAGGATCCCTCCCAAGGAACCCTCCTGAGGATCCGAGGAGAGGCCCCAAAGCCGCTCCCGATCCACCCTCCCGCCCCGATGGTCTTTGCTGCCTCCCGAGGAACCCTCCCGAGGATCCTTCCCAAAGGTCCCTCCCAAGGATCCCTCCCAAGGAACCCTCCTGAAGGTCCCTCCTGAAGATCCTTCCTGAGGGTTCCTCCCAAGGAACCCTCCTGAGGATCCCTCCCAAAGGTCCCTCCCGAGGGTTCCTCCTGAAGATTCCTCCTGAGGATCCCTCCCGAGGATCCCTCCTGAGGAATCCTCCGAAGATCCCTCTCAAGGATCCCTCCCAAGGAACCCTCCTGAGGATCCCTCCCAAAGGTCCCTCCCGAGGATCCCTCCCAAGGAACCCTCCGAAGGTCCCTCCTGAAGATCCTTCCTGAGGGTTCCTCCCAAGGAACCCTCCTGAAGATCCTTCCCGAGGAACCCTCCCGAGGGTCCTTCCTGAAGATCCCTCCCGAGGGTCCCTCCTGAAGATCCCTCCCAAAGGTCCCTCCCGAGGAACCCTCCCAGTAACAACCTGACCAGGAACTGCTGCTCCAGCAGCTGTTTTGTGCAACAACAACAACAAAAAATCCAACTCCCCAACGAGTGCAACTGCTTGGAACCTCCTTCTTCCTGTAAATTCCCGGAGGGAAAGTGAAATTCCACACCAAATTCCTTCCCCTGCTGCCCACCTGGCTCAAAACCTGCACCCCCAGAGTCGTGCTGGCACCTCCTGTGCCACAGCCTGTCCGTGGGGTTTGGGCTGGGAAGTGAAGCATTGCTCAGGCTCTAATTCCAGTTCTGTGTCCTGAAGAGGGAAACTGAAACCTCCTCCCTCATCAGGTTCCTTTCCCTGCCACAAACACTGACATCAGGCTTTGGGAATCCTGGATTTTTGATGGCGCCATTCCCTGCAGTGCCATTAAATTAATTCCTGGGGGACCAAAGTCTGATGGTTCAAACTCCATCACGGCATCCCTTTATTATGAATCCCGTGTGGAGATGCATTTACTGCCGATGGGAAGGAGCCTCAGCAGTGGGACAGGCTGGTCCCACCCCAGGATCCCCCTTCTGAAAGCCATCATCCCAAATCCAGCTGCAGCACACACAAAACTCCCAGGCTTTGTCCCTGTTCCAGGGTTATTACACCCAGCCCCTATCCCACACCATTTCCCAGGCTTTGTCCCTGTTCCAGGGTTATTACACCCAGCCCCTATCCCACACGATTTCCCAGGCTTTGTCCCTGTTCCAGGGGTATTACACCCAGGGTTATTACCCCACACGATTTCCTCACACTCGGTGCCCTCTGCTCACCCTCGGAGATGCTGCCCCAGGCTGCACCAGGAGCATGCTCAGACCCCAACGGGCACTGAGAGAATCGATTTCCTTTAAAAAAACTGAGGAAAAGTAGCCCAAGCTAAGTATTGATCCATGAAATGGAACTAAGGCACTGACAGGTGGAAACGCCTGAGCCACCAGCACGATCCTACCCTGGCCAAAACCAGCCAGGGCCACCTCCATGTCCAGGGCCACTGAGTGTCCCACCCCTCCTGGGGTGTCCCCAGGCAGACGGGCACATTCCCACGGCATGGTGCTGGGAATGGCACTGCCCTGCTCTGCCAGGGAACGGGCACAGCAAGCCCAGCCCAAGCTCAGCCAGGGCACCGGGGAAATCCAGCAGGAGGAGCCTGCTGGAGCCACAGCCGGCTGGGGATGCTTTGGGAAGGGCCAGGGGAGCTCTGAAGAGCCTTTCCAGCAACAGCTGAACGCCTGTGAGTGCTCAGGGTCACAGCTCCCTCCTCACCCTCTGCTTCTCCCTCTCCAGCAGCCTGGAAAATCACCCTGAGAGGAGCCAGGAGAGACCAGAACTGACCCAAGTGCGCAGAGAAACCTCTCACTCTCCTCTGAGAACTCTGTTGTGGAAGCAGCACCAGCCTCTCCCGGGCTGTCCCAGCCAGGAATGGAAGTGTCCATCCAGGAACACAGGAAGGAATCTCCCTGTGGGAGGAGTGGACAGATCCTGCTCTCAGCTCCAAAGCAGCCCACGCTGCCTCCCTCCCAGGTTTACAAAAATGCAGGATTTCCTCTTCCCGAGCAGGAGCTGGAAGTGGGCAGTGGCAGCAACTGGCACAAGCTGGGGGTGCCTGGGCTACCCCCACCCACCACGGGTGGCAGATGCTCATGGGGACAATTTTGTGCAATGGTTTAGATTTTTTAAAAATCGAGTTAATTTCTAATCCCTAAATCCTCCTCACCATGCCTGAGCAGCGATGTGGAATCACGGCAGTGGGGGTCACTGCTCCGCAGTGAATTTCAGATGGAGAACCCAGAGCAGCTGATGCTGCAGCTCCTGCTGCTCCAGAGGCAGCTGCACTCCCCGGGCAGGGAGGGAAACGCTCCTGCAGCCACGGGATCCAGTCTGGAACTCCCTTTTCCTTGTCATCACCACCTAAATCCCAGTCATGGAACGTCCTGTGCTGGAACGGACCCACAGGGGTCATCCAGCCCAACTCCTGACCCTGCACGGACACCCCAACAATCCCACCCTGTGCCTGAGAGCCTTGTCCAAAGGCTCCTGCAGCTCTGGCAGCCTTGGGCACCTCTTGCTCCTTGGAAAACCACCCAGGAATTATTTCTGCTCCTCACACAGTGCCGGGCTCCCGGGGAGAAGGGGAGGGGAGCAGTAGTACAAAGGAGAGGGGAAGGGAAGGCTGAGGAGCCCGTGCACCACTCAGCTGCCCCGCTGCTGGGGGAATATTGCTTCAGCTTTAAAAGGCCTTTGGATTAAAAGTGAATTCAGTGCTTTTCCATCAAAAACATACATAGCTCTGTTCCCTGCCCAGGATGCAGCAAGGCCTCCACCTGCCCCAGAGGGGAACAGCCCTCGGGTGACTCGCGCTCCACCAGTGCCCTCAGCTCCCAGGAACACGGGGCCACTGTGCTTTGATTTCCCTCGGTGCAAGTGAAGGAACCCGGAGCTGCCAGGGGACACAGCTGCCACCAGCCGTGTCCCCACTCAGCTCGGAGGGGCTGCCCCAGCACCCCTCCCTCAGCTGGGCCCAGCTGAGCTGAGCTCAGCCCAATTTGGTATTTCAGACACAAAGAGCCACCCAAGGAGGCCCAGGCAGACACTCATTGCCTTTCCCTACACCCAGAAAATAGAAACCTTGGACAGAAACTGGAGATGTCTGACCATGGGGGTGTTTGGATCAGGACAAAACGCTTCCCAGAGCATGGCAGGACCCAGGGTGACACTTGGTGCCTGTCACCTGCCCCTGTGTCCCAAGAGCAGCTGGCTCTGGGCCATGGGATGGCAGCTCCAGCCTTGGGAGTGCCCCAGGAGAGCAGATTCCTGAAGCCCTGGGAATGCCCAGGGGAGCAGGTTCCTGCCAGCCCTGGGAATGCCCAGGAGAGCCCTGGGAATGCCCAGGAGAGCAGGTTCCTGCCAGCCCTGGGAATGCCCAGTGGAGCAGGTTCCTGCCAGCCCTAGGAATGCCCAGGGGAGCAGATTTGTGCCAGCCCTGGGAATGCCCAGGAGAGCAGGTTCCTGGAATCCTGGGAATGCCCAGGACAGCCCTGGGAATGCCCAGGGGATCAGTTCCTGCCAGCCCTGCCTGCCAGGCACAGCTGTGTGCCCCCTGCTCCCGCTGTGTCACCGGCAGCCCCAGGACTGAGCTGCTGTGCTCACTCCCCTGTCCAGCCCAGCTCCCTGCAGCTCCAGCAGCAGCACCCCCGGACCCCTCCCTTCACCGGGACACCGGGAGGGGGATCTGCACACCAGGAGCACCAGCCTGCACCGCACAGCCCAGCAGCCTCTGCAGCAGAGGGAAAGGCAAGGGAGGGAAAGGCTGCCAGGGATCTGAACTGGGAGCAGCCAGGGGAGCCCACTCGGGGCTCCTGCCTCGGGGCTGGACTGGGTTATCCCCTTCCCTCTGCCAAGAGACAACCAACAACGGGCTGTGGGCTGCATTCCCCGGGGAGGGCAGGGCTCGGCAAACGTGCTCAGAGCAGGCTGGGGTTACTGGAACTGCAGTACAAGTCAAACACTATCTCCTAAAAGATTGAAAAAATATCTTTAAACAAAATAATGTGGCATATTTACATAATTCCTTAAGTGCAAACTCTTGTCACAATTCACGTAGTTGAGCGCGATTTCGACTCCCTGTACAAGAAGGTGCTCTTTCGCTAATGAAAGAAGGACTCTAACTCTGTATTCCTGATTCAGTAACGTGTCTCTTGTGCAAGGCAGTAAAATTCCTGTTTCTTCCCAAGATTCTTCGGACAGCAGCCCCCGGAGGAGGCCGTGCTACGCCCCGCGTGCCCCCCGTTACCGCACGACGAGGCAGGAGACGCAGAGCTTGGAGGGCCCGATGCAGTCGTCATGGCAGAAGGCGCCGCAGCCCTTGCACATGATCATGGCTTTCAACCTGCAGTAACATTTGGAAGGGGGATCCTCCATGGCGCCGTCCTCGGCGAACGCCTGCACCGGGAGGCTCTGCCCGTGGCCGCCGGAGCTCACGGCCTGCCCGGCGGGGAGGGTGGTGACGGTCACGGAGAAGGACATGACGTTGCCCATGGAGCTGGCCAGCTGCTTGCACTCGCTCATGAGCGAGCCCTGGCCCACGTCGGGCGAGGTGGAGACGTTGATGGTGCCGCTGTAGCTGGGCCCCAGCAGCTGCGCCCCGGCGCTCCCGGGCAGCTTCGGGGGGTGCGGGGCAGGGAGCAGCGGGGGCTGTGCCGGGTCTGGGGACGGGCTGGGGGCCCCGAAGAGCTCCGTGCCGCCGTGGCCCTTGCTCCTCATGGCGTGGGCCATCTGCTCCTGCGCCGCCTGCAGCAGGTCCCGTGCCAGCGCCGTGCCGTCCAGCGCTGCCACCTTCTCCCTGGCTGCCGGCGGCACCGGGGCCGCCTCGGCCTTCGCCCCCAGGGAGCCGGGCTCTGCAGGGCCCTGCTCCTTCTCCCCCTGCCCCGCCCGTGGCTCCTCCTTGACGCTGATGTGCTCCCGTTCGTCCCCGGAGCTCTCGTCGTCCGCGTCCTCCTCGCTGCTGCTGCTGCTGGCCCGGCCGCCCGTGTCCTCGCCCTCCCCGAGCTCTGCCCTGGCACCCTCGGCGGGGCTGCTCAGCCCCACGCGGGGCTCGGCGTTCAGGGAGAAGCCTCTCCTCAAACTCTCCGAGCCGCGGCCGTAGGTGGAGATGTTGAGCAGGTAGTGCCCAGACATGGCAGGCTTGGACGTCCTCCTGCCCGTGAAGCCCAGCATGAATCTCTGGCTGGTGGAGCCGTTTTCCACCGGGAAACCTGAGTGCGGGAGGTTCAGCTGCGAGGGCTGGAGGACGGGCAGCAGGTTCTGCCTCTGCACCCTCTTGATGAGAGTCTGCAGGATCTGCTCCTGGGTGGATTTGCTCAGCGCCTCGTGGCCCTGCTGCTGCTCAGGCCCGGGGTCCTTTCCTGAGGCGAGCGGGAAGGTCCTTGGAATGTGAGGCAGAGGCCTGTTCTGGCACAAGATCTTCCCAAGCTGCTGCGGGGGCAAACTCGATGCTCTGTCCCCCGCCTCGGCGCCGTTCCCCGCCGCACCGGCAGCCGCCGGCCCCTTCTCTTCCTGAGGAGCCACCGGGACGGGTTTCACTTCTGCTCTGGTGAGCGCCTTGGGCAGGATCTGCTCCAGAGGGACGCTCTTGCCCTGCAGCAGCTGGGTGACCAAAGGGTTGTTGGCAGGAATGCTGGAGCTCGCTCGGGGCAGGGCCCCACCGGGAGGGGATTTAAGGCTGGCTGCTGCTGAGGAGCTGCTGGAGGCTGGGACGGGAGCACCCACGGCTCCAGCCTGGGCTCCGGGGCCCGCGGGTGGCACGGGGGACACCAGAGGAGAAGGAGATTTGCCTTTGGGAAGGTCACAGCTGCTCCCCGCCGAGGGGCCGTTCCCGTTCCCAGCTGCCGGAGCCCCCCGGGCCGGGGCAGGAGGGGCTGTCCCCAGGCTGTCCCCGCTGGGGGTGCTCAGGGAGCCGGGGGTGGCCGTGCCCCGCGGGGGGCTCGGCGTGGCCCCCGCGCCGCTCCCTAGCGCCGGGGCTGCCGCGGGGGCCCCTGGCTGTAGCTGTGCTCCAGGAGGATGGCGAGCAGCCCCCGGCTCCGCCTGGCCCTCCACCTGGGAGCGGGGCCCTGGGCCAGGGGGAAGGAACCTTCTCGAACCTCCCCCGCTTCCAGTTCCTGCCAGTTCCAGTGCGTTTGCTCCACTTGCTGCTCGGACGGCTCCGCCGGGGTCTCTCCCGTCTGCCCCCCTGCCCGGGGGTCTCCCCCCGCCCGGGCCGGGTCCTGGCACGGCCCCCCCGGCCGAGGCGGCGGCGGCGGCGGCCGCTGCCCTC